GGTATTTTCATCAACTTTGACGTCTCTTGACACTATAATCTTTTTAGTTTCCAGATTATATACTCTATAGCCTTTTGCCTGAGAGCTATAGTCTAGGAAAATTCCTTTCACTGCCTTGTTATCCAGTTTGCTCCTCTTCTATTCTGGAAGATGCATATAGAATAACGATCCAAATACTTTGAGGTGTTTTGCTGTTGGTTTCACACAATTCCAAGCCTCAATTGGATTCTTACCTTTCACAGCTTTAGTTGATAATCTATTTTGTAAATACACTGATGTATACACAGCTTCAGTCCAAAATTTCTTTGGCAAATCCTTCTTAGCCATCATACTTCTTGCCATTTCCATCACTGATCTATTTTTCCTCTCTGCCACTCCATTTTGCTGTGGCGTATAGGGCACTGTGAGTTGGTGATGGACACTATTTTCCTCACAAAATTAATCAAACATCTTGGAGGTATACTCCTTGCCATTATCAGACCTTAGGACCTGAATCTTGCAGCCTGATTGACTCTCAACAAACGCCTTGAATTTTCTGAAGATTTGGAACCCATCAGACTTTTTTTCATGAAGTATACCCAGCACATTCTTGTATAATCATCAATAAAGAGTGCAAAATATCAATTTTCACTCAATGATGGCGTTCTCATAGGACGACAGATGTCAGAATGTACCAGCTGCATTTCTGAGTTGCTATCCAAACTCCATTTGTTGGAAATGCTTCCCTATGCATCTTTCTATAACTGCAGGCCTCACAAACTCCTCCTAGCTCTTGAATTGCAGGAAAGTCCCTTACCATGCCTTGAGTATGAAGATTGGCTAAGGTCTTAAAGTTATAATGACCATATCTTTTATGCCACAAAACTGATTCATCATAGTTAACTTCAGCAGCATTTGCAATCACATTTTGCCAATAAATACTGAAACTCTTATTCCTCATTGGTATACAAGCAATTTAAACATTATTTGAATAATTTATCATGCATAAATGGTCTTTAAAAAATAATGAATATCCATCTTGAACCATTTGACCGACACTTAGTAGATTAGAACTTAAACCAGGTACAAGTAAAATATAGTCAATTTACCTCGTTCCCTTCTTTGTTTGAACTGCAATGGTTCCAATTCCTCTGGCAAACACTACTTCACCATTTCCCATCTTGATTTTTGCTTTACAATTTGAGTTCAAGCAGCAGAAAATCTCCTATTTGCTAGTCATATCATTGGTGCAAGCACTGTCAATGAACCAAGAGTCTTCCTCCTTGTCATTTGTCATTTGAAACGCCAAGAATAAATGACCTTCGGCCTTCTTCTCAGAAGCCAGAGTAGCTTGCTGATTCTGGTGTCTGTGATGATAATGAGTTGGAGTGTGACTTTGGCGATTAACTGGACATAACCTTTCAGGATGTCCAACCTTATTGCATACTTTATACTTATGTGCTTTCCAACAAAACTTTTCCAGGTGATTTGTTTTGCCACAAACACCACATTGAGGATGTGAATCTCGATCTCTACTTGTCCCTTGTTTGCTGCTGCTTCTTTATCTCCTTTTCCTTAAATCAAATTACCTCCTATCAACATTGCTCCTGGAATACTACTGTTTGTGCTTGGTTGTAAAGGCTCCTTCCACTGACTTCTCACTTCTTGATGCCAGCCTTTGTTCAAACAACAATAAAGCACATGTAAGCTCAATTAAGACGAGGTTTGACAGGTCTTTAGTATGCTCAATGGTTGTAGTGACAGCATCATATTTTTCAGGCAAAATAATCAGAACTTTCTAAACCACTCTCTTGTCTGTAATCTTCTCACCATTTAGCTTGATTTGATTCACAATATTAACCACTCTTGAGGTGTAATCCTTAACCTTCTCTGTTTCTTTCATCCTCAGATTTTCGAACTCCCTAGCTAAGGATTGAAGCCTCACTGCCCTGATTTTTTCTGAACCTTTAAACTCTTCCTCAAGCTTATCCCATGTCTCTTTAGCTGTAGTTGCAACCACTATCCTGGGAAAAATCTCCTTTGACATGGCTGTAAACAAGAAAGACAAAGCTTTTATATTCTTCATGGACTGATCCTTCTGCTGTTTCAACTCAGCTGCTGTGTAAGGAACATTATCCTTCGGTTGTCATAGCCTTGCTCAATCACTTCCCGTAGATCATGAGCCATCAAGAAATCCTTCATTTTAACAAACCAAAAATCATAATTTTCGCCATTGAACACGGCAGGTAAAGGTAAGGATGAAAAGTTTGATCTAGACATTTTGTTTACCAGATTTTTTGCTTCTTCCTTCAGCTACTGGTTTTGGTTGTCTTCTTCTTTTCTTTTCTCCTATTTTTGTTTTGGACAAATCTTACTTTTTCTCCTCAAGCTCTGATACCATTTGTTGGAGCAAAGAAGAAGAAAAAACTTGGAGGAACCATGTGTATTGATTGAGTAAAGTGAAGTCAATGATATAGATTACAAACCATACTTTTTGCATAGTGTTCTATCCCGTCAACTAGTACAAGGATAAATTATAAACTAATGCAACTTGACTTGAAATGAAATGAAATGAAATGATAAGCTACCAACTACCATTCAACATATTATAGAAGGAATGATGGTCAAAATGAGATTAAGTATTCATAGAAGCTTCACTATCCTTGAGCACCATTGTCTTCGTTATGGATTTGGGCCACCAAGGTTGGCACTTGATTTTGCAAGGGAGTGACATGGTCAGCAATGGCAAACTCCGAATTCAAGTGGGTGGTTGTGGTCTCAGACTCAATTTCCACCGAAGGGATAGACTTGATATTAGTATGTTTCTCCTCCTCCTACAACAACCATTTAAGTGGTCTAAAACCAGCATAAAGGTGGATGGAGAGTTCTTCCCGGTGGGCACTCTGTTATAAAAGAAAGTATGGGAGGAAGGAGAACATTATGAAGTGTATGTAAGGTTGAAATTATAACATCATACCTTAGAGGGCACGCCTCTACATCAGCTGGGTAGACACGTCTCTACCCGAAGTAGCGAGAGTTCCCACATGCTTTCACTCTCTCCTAAATATCTAGTGCTAGTTTAGGAACGTGTTTTTGCAGCTTTAGTGCCTTAACCAATCAAAAGGCATCGATTATAATAGTCATAAATATAAAAATAAATATGTCAAGATAAGGATGGCAATATGGTAGAGTAGCTCGTCGGCTCGACTCATCAAAGGTCAGCCCATGGATGGAAACGAGTTCGACCTGAGTCGGGCGAAACTAGCCCAAGCTCGAGCCTGAGCCGAGCCGAGGTTCGCCCGACGAGCCGAGCTTGCGAACGGATCATTGGCTCGTAAAAAATGTAAAGAAAAAAAGAATTAAAATTTGTTAAAAAAAAAAACACGAATTCGTGGGCTCGGCTCATGAGCTCACCAGCTCGAGCTAGGCTTGTCACTTAGACGAGCCAAGCTCATGGGTAGATGTCGGCTCGACACATTACCACCACTATGTCAAGACATCATTTGGATAAGGATGAAGACGCGTGAAAAATATTTAGACTTCATATGAATGGGCGACTCGTTGATAACGATAAAAATTCACATGACTTGCGACTTGTAGACCTATTGGACACTAATTAATTAACTTCAAACATTTATAAAATATGATGATTTTTCTATTTTGTTAAGAGACTTGTGGATTTACCTTCCTTGTAATATTCAAGCAATCTATTGGGCTCATTTACCTTTATAAAATAAAGGAAATTAGATTTTATAACTCGTGACCTTGATATTATTTTGAGAAAAACATAAAGATTAAGGAAAGGAACACTTCGTCAAATTGGGAAAAATAAAAAAAAGTCTCCTTTCACATATTACAAAAATTGAGGACTCAAAGGAGATTTAATGGGGGCATGGATTTAGTAATTATATTTAGGATTTGACTTTTGAGATTCCTATGTTGCCTCTTATACCTACAAAACAAATCTTTAATATCAAGAAGAAAATCTTTTGATGATTTTCCCCTTTCATTTCCACTATATTTCAGCGAAAATTCAACCCTAAAAAATTGCCCCTTCAAACTTGACAACTCCATCGAATCTTCAAATGGTGAATTTCAAAGATTATTTTACATGCACCTGATTATTTTAGTCATTTCTTTTTTTTTTTTATTATCGCATTAATAAGGCTGTTTAATTATATATCATGAGTACAATATTAAAAGAAAAGACAAGATTTTGCCTGTGTTTGACAAGTTTTTTGAGATTAAAAGTTCGTGGGATCGATAAAATGTATTGTTAAAAAGTTGATGGAATTTGTAGATTCAATTAATTATATGGTAAAAAATGACGTTTGACCAATTTAAAAAATGCTTTGTAAAATAGGGGATTATTACATTTACATGCACCACAAAGTCATGAAGTTTTTGGACAATAAGAAAAGTCTGAAATTTCTCTTTTTAATCGTATCTTTGATATTTCTCTTTTTAATTCGTATCTTTGATAATTAATTGTTGTGCAATATGTCAAAATTTCTTGTATGCTACAGTGCTAGCTAGTACATGTCCAAGATTCACAAATCCACATTTTCACGCAAATTTCACTATACATAGCACCTTCATTCATAAGATTATATCATACATAGTCATCTTTCTTCAATTTCAATCCCCATCTTCTCTCTCTAGAAATGGCTAGCCCTCGTCTAATTCCTGCACATTTTATTGTCTTGTTAATCGTAAGTCGTTTAATGTCCATCCTGGGGAAGTTAAGGCGATCAAACAATTCACTTTCTTTTGATATCTACTCCCTTGATATTGGTGCTAATATTTGCTATGATCTTGATGCCATTGGACTAGCCTCGAGCGACTATGGAAATATAGTTCAAGAAATTCCTTCTGCCGTTCTTTATCCTACGTCCATTGAGGATATTATCAAGCTTATCAAATACTCTAATGAGTGTCCCATCCCATTTAACGTGGCGGCATGAGGCCATGGACATTCTCTTAGAGGACAGGCCACGGCAGATAATGGGGTTGTGGTGAATATGCTTTCTTTAAAGAAACACTACGAAAATGGGAATGGAATCAGGGTTTCTACACTAGGACACTATGTAGATGTTGGAGGTTTACAATTGTGGATTGATGTATTGAATGCCACACTCGAACATGACCTTGCACCTGTTTCAGGGATTGATTATTTGTTCCTAACTCTTTGTGGTACACTTTCTAATGCTGGAATCAGTGGACAGACCTTCCTCTATGGTCCTCAGATTAGCAATGTTCTTGAAATGGATGTTGTTACAGGTAAATTTTCCATTTTTCTGAAAGTATATATTTCTTTCAAGAAAATTTAGTATAGGTTAGAAGCAAGTTCTTGGAGCTCTACTCATGCAGAGCATCACTTGAACATAAGTGATGGCTTCGTTTGTAAGGGAAATTTCGCCATAAGGTCGTAACAAATAAAGGTTGGGTTGGATTCCTCGCCTGATCCTTAGTGATATGGGTTTGGTTATGCTTCACGTATTAGCTATAGCTTTTGAAAAAAAAAAAAAGTGGCTGCATCTCCTCACATTACATGCATTATGAGGTTGTGTGGTAGAATTGTATTCAAAATGTGTTGTACAAGCAAAAAATTAATATATCTGTGCACTTGGAAGATCTTCGAGTGTTTATTATGCATAGCTCATGACATTGGTGACAACATCCATATATATTCTCATGCCCAATCTCCTGCTCCGAGTGGGTACCACATGAGCAGTGGAAAGCTTTTATTGTGCCCATGATGATGGACAGGAGATCAATTCCATATATATTCTATGTGAATGAAAGAATCAAACAGCAGCTCTGCAGGTACATGCACTTTTTGCATGGATAGGGTCACTTTATTAACAGAAGACTTTTGCCATTTGTCTGATTTAGGTAACGGGGACTTCCTGACTTGCTACAAAGACAGCAATTCTGAATTATTTTATGCAGTTCTAGGAGGTCTGGGGCAGTTTGGCATCATAACTAGGGCAAGAATTGTCCTAACAAAAGCACCTAAAAGAGTGAGTACAATAAGGTTAAAACTTTGTCACAAGGAAAAAAAAGGTTCACTTTTAGTTGGTAGTTGTGGGGGTGGCATGAGATATTTATGTTTGCAGTCTACACTGAAATATAGAATCCTAGGCTTACCAACCATCCTCATTTGTCTTCATTTGCAATTCCAGCCCATTTAACCCCATTAAAATCATAACCAATTTTTCTATCTATTTTTATCAACCACACATTCTTTCATAAAATAATATTATATATAAATCCTAAATTTTTTTCTTCTTTTTTAACTACACATTTTTCAAAAAAAAAAAAAATTTATTCCAAAAATTGTAATCTCAAGTAATGGGGGCCAAACTGGAGCTAAATTAATATGGTCTCTGAGCATGTGAATAGTTTAAATCTTACAAAAAATTTGCACGCATTAAATAATGAAATTGCCTTGTACATGAACGGTGTGTTAAAGATGTATCTACTAGTTTGAACTTTTGCAAAGAGATGGTTGAACTCCATTGCAGAAAAAAGTCCTTTATCAATAAAAATAGTATAATCATATATGCTAATTTTTTTCTTTTCTAAATAACCAATATTATTAATTTCTTCCTATATACTGTGCTCAAGTTTTTAGTATTGCTAATTTCTGTTAGGTGAAATGGGTGAGAATGCTATATAGTGATTTCTCAATCTTTTCAAGAGATCAAGAACATCTTATTTCAATCAAGGGTCTAGAATTTTTGGAGGGCTCTCTCATAATGGACTACTCTCCTGCAAATAACTGGAGATTTTCCTTTTTCACTCCTTATAACGAATCTCAAATTTCTCCTCTTTTGAAAAAACATGGCATCCTCTATTACTTAGACATGGTCAAGTATTACGAAGATGAAGCCATCAATTCAGTCAACAAAGTACGCGTTTCCACTTGTAATTCACTACTGAAACAGTAGTCTATAATATATAGGACTACACTGTAAATTTTTTTTTTTTTTTTGCAGGAAGTTGAAAAGCTGCCGGAGGAATTGAACTACATTCCTGGTTTCGCTTTCATGAAAGACCCAAACTATGTTGATTTCCCCAATAGAGTTCAAACAGGGGAAATAACCCTAAAATTAAAAGGGTTGTGGGATGTTCCTCATCCATGGCTGAATCTCTTTGTACCAAAGTCCCATATCATGGATTTCAATGATGGTGTTTTCGTAGACACTATTCACAGACAAAAGATTACCAAAGGGCCCATACTTGTCTACCCAACAACTAAAATAAAGTACTTATCGTTTACTAACTGAAATGCAGTCAAGACGTCACAAAATATCTCACAAGCCTACATCACGAAGATACAAAGTATATTATGTTTCTTTATCCAAGAAATTCTATTTCTAGTTTATGTGGCCTAATCGTAACGTACTACTAAATTGTGCAGATGGGATGATAGGATGTTTGCAGTTACACCAAATGAGGATATCTTCTACTGTGTGAGACTATTGCATTCAAGCAGTTTCGATGACTGGCAATATTTGGACAATCAAAACAATGCAATACTGGAGTTTTGTAATAGAGCTGGAATAAAGATGAAGCAGTATCTTCCACACTACAAATCCAAGGAAGATTGGATAAAGCATTTCGGTTCCAAATGGAACACTTTTAAAGAAAGGAAAGCACAGTTTGATCCAAGAAAGATATTGTCATCAGAACAAAAAAATTTCAATTCTGTTTGAAACATACACATCCATCAACTTTTTAGCTGCTTGAGTTGCTTAGAAGCTTGAGTTTATTTAGTTGGAAATTTACTTATACATGCACAACGGTAATTAAATTATTTTTGAATTTTCTTCAAGGGCCCCTCTTTGTGTTTAGATAGAAATCATAATTAGAATTATACCTTTAACAAATTCTTCAAATTCTTTTGAGAATTTTGATCACAAACAATCACGATCTTTACTCCTTGTAAATCTTGATCTACCATGATCTTTCCATACCTTTATGAAGCACGTCATTTTCATACTGTTGATACTCAATAAATTATGGCGATGATGTTAAAACGATGTAGAAAATTTATATCGACACCAAAGTGATTGGCTCGACCCGGAAATGACTTGGGCAATTTGACGTAACTTAATTAAGTTGCTCATGGCCAAACGCTTTTGGATGGTCCATGTGAGTTTTGGCCCAAGTTTTGGTTGGTTTAGTTTTTGGATTGTTAGCCTATTTATAGGTAGAGAGCTTTTATCCACTTAGGTTGAGAGAGGTGAAGTAGTAATAGTGAATTATTTCATGGACTTAGGATCTATATTGGTTTACCAGTTAGACATGAGTAGTGACTAGTCTAGTGAGAATGGTTGGAAATGAGGAGATATATGTCTTCTCGAGATACAAGTTACATAGAATGGGATGGGATAATTGTGGTAATATGCCATTTTGATTTATTAACTTGGAATTAGTCAGATATTCTTTGATTGGTGAACATGTTTGAAAAGATCTTTTTATGATAATGGTATATCTTCATCGCATATTTTGTATGTTCTTGATTGAATAATGTGATTATCCTTTTCTACTTGGATTTTCTCGACCTTAACTTTAGTGAGTAGCATGGAGCATGTATAATGTGTTTTGGGTCCTTGACATGAGGTAAGGTCTATGATTCGGCAGGTATAAAGTTTGTGTTATTTGCTTACAAGTTGATTGGATATCAAGGTGAAATTTTTTTGAGTTTTGATAGCCAATAAGTTCTGAATAATGATGTTAAATAGTTTGAATTATATTTCACATGCCTCGGCCGATGGGTGAAATTATTATCAACACACCAATTTGATAGCTAGACCCGAAACAACTATTTACCATTAGTTGGTCCATTTATTATGTTTGTTGGCCCATGTCATACATTAGCTTTGTAGCGCCCCGAGTTCTGTTAACCCGGATTGCCACGTTGTCGTCTTTTGCCCTAATTTTGTCAATCAATTTTGCGGAAATAACCTAATTTTTAAAATCACATTTGCAATTGAAAACTACGTCGGCAATTAAAATATATTGGATAATTGTTCAAAATTTAAATATC